AGAAGAAGAAGAAGAAGAAGAAGAAGAAATAATAAAATATATGAACAATAGCCCTGACTTGTTTGGTTCAGTGGATAGAGCGTTGGCCTGCGGACTGAAGGGTCCCAGGTTCGATTCTGGTCAAGGACATGTACCATGATTGTGGGCACATCCCCAGTAAGGGGTGTGCAGGAGGCAGCTGATCGATGTTTCTGACTCTCTATCCCTCTCTCTTCCTCTGTAAAAAATCAATAAAAAATATTTTAAAAAAATATATGAACACAACAAATACATATCTATCAACAATTGAATCTAAAAATAAAAATAAATGAGCAAGCCTTAACCGGTTTGGCTCAGTAGATAGAGCATCGGCCTGCAGACTGAAGGGTCCCAGGTTTGATTCTGGTCAAGGGCACGTACCTTGGTTGCGGGCACATCCCTAGTAGGGGGTGTGCAGGAGGCAGCTGATCGATGTTTCTGACTCTCTATCCCTCTCCCTTCCTCTCTGTAAAAAAAATCAATTAAAAATAATAATAAAAAAATAAATGAAGAAGAAATCTAATGAACAAAACAAACTGGTGAATAAAATAGAATCAGAGGCATGGAAGCATGGAAAAGACTGAGGAATCTCAGAAGGGCAGGAAGAGATTAACCAAAGATCTTATCTATAGACACAGATAATAGAGTGGTGAAGGCCTGGGGCGGGGCAGGAACTGGGTGTAGTGGGGCAATGGGGGGAAAATGAGGGGTATCTGTAATATTTTCAACAATAAACATTTTAAAAAAATAATAAAAATAAAAGTTTAGAGAAAAAAATATATATCATAAGAAAAACACATTGTGCCCTAGCCGGTGCAGCTTAGTGGATAGAGTGTTGGCTGGCAGACTAAAGGGTCCCAGGTTCAATTCTGTTCAAGGGCACATACCTCACAATCCCTGGCCCCAGTTGGGGCACATGCAGGAGGCAACCAACCGATGTGTCTCACAGCGATGTTTCTCTCTGTCTCTCCTCCTCCCTTCCACTCTTTCTAAAAAAAAAAAGTCAAGGGAAAAATATCCTTGGGTGAGGATTAACAAATAAGAAAGAAAGAAAGAAAGAAAGAATCTAAAAAAAAAAGTCAAGGGAAAAATATCCTTGGGTGAGGATTAACAAATAAGAAAGAAAGAAAGAGAGAGAGAGAGAGAGAGAGAGAGAGAGAGAGAGAGAGAGAAAGGAAAGAAGGAAGGAAGGAAGGAAGGAAGGAAGGAAGGAAGGAAGGAAGGAAGGAAAGAAAGAGCCCTAGCTGGTTTGGCTCAGTGCATAGAGTTTCAGCCTGTGGACTGAAGAGCTCCAGGTTCAATTCCAGTCAAGGGCACATGCCTGGGTTGCAGGCTGGATCCCCAGTAGGGGGCATGCAGGAGGCAGCCAATCCATGATTCTCTTTCATCATTGATGTTTCTATTTCTCTCTTCCTTTCACTTCCTCTCTGAAATCAATAAAAATATATTTAAAAAAAGAAAGAAGGAAAGACACATTGTATTGTAAACATTTTTTAAATGTGCTATATATCATAACATCTTAAAAAGACCTTTCTGGCTGGGAAGAAGCTGCCCTTCTCAGGGTAGCTAATCTATATTAATAAAAGGCCTGTGGTCGGGACGCCGTAACGCCCGTCATGACCAAACAAGCAGCAGCTCTCGCAGAGGGCAGGGCGGGGGCGCAAGCTACTACTGGCAGAGAGCTACTAGCAACAGAGGGCTAGGAGCGGGGGAGGCTGGGGCGGCCAGCTGAGGCAAGTGGAAGCGAGCTACTCATGCATGATTTCATGCGCGCTGGGCCTCTAGTTCCTAAATATAATATCAACTAGCCTACACGCATGCCTCTCATATGCAAAACAACCAGTCTAGAGTGTATACCAATAATGTGAATATATTGAATACCACTGAACTGTATGCTTATTTTTTTTTTTTTTGTCCTCAGTCATGGACATGCTTAGAAAGAGGAAGGGAAAGAAAGAGAGAAAGGGGGAGAGAGAGACAAAGACAGAAAGAGAGAGAGAGAGAAACACTGATGTAAGAAACATTGATGTAAGAAACATCGATCAGTTGTCTGCCATATGAGTCCCCACTGGGGATTGAACTCACAACCCAGGTATGTGCCTTGATCAGAATCAAACCAGCAACCTTTTGGTTCACAGAACAATGTTCAATCAACTGAGCCACTCCGACTCGTTCTAAAAATCAATAAATAAAAATTAAAAACAAAAAAAAGAATGAAGTACTGATGCAGGCTACAACTTAGATGAACCTTGAAAACATTATGCTAAGTGAAAGAAGCCAGTCACAAAAGTCCACATATTATACTAGTGGCCCGGTGCATGAATTCATGCACATTGAAAGGAAATTAATTAGAAGGTGGCCAGTGAGGTGGGACTTGGTGAGACGGGCCGGACATACTCTGGAGCCAACCTCCCGCAGTCCCTTCCCCTGTATCTGCAGAATGAGCCGGGTCCCTCTGGCAGATGGGTCCCTTGGTCTGGCCTGTGGGGATCGGGCCGAAACCAGCTCTCCAACATCCCCAAAGGGATCCTGGAGTGCGAGAGGGCACTCTGCAAAGTTGCTGTTGTACAGGGTGTAGAACGCAAACACAAGTGTGCAGTAAACCAGATTTGGGGCTGACAATGCCTCAGCAACATCACCCACAGCTGAAGGTGGAATCGGGTGGCCCTTTGAGGAATCGGGCTCCCTCCTCTCTGGTTTGGGGGTGTGTCA